AAAAAGCAATGCAAAAAGCATGAATTCATTAAGTGGTTTAGAGAGAGAAAAGAAATAAATAAATGTAGCTTGGACAAGGAGGAACAGCTGTCCAAAAGTTGACATGTGACCTATTTTTGTTGCGTTCATGCTGAGTGCTGCCCCTCTGACATTTGCTGTGTGTAACCTTAGGATCATAGAAAAGTGGGGCCAGAAGAGACTGCATGAGGTCAACTACTCCAGCTCCCCAGTTAAAGGCAAGATCACCCCAATTTAATCCAGTCCAGTTAAATGACTGTCTAACCGGCTTTTGAAAACTTCCAAGGATGGAGATTCCACAGCTTACCTAAGTAATGTTTCAATGTTTGACCATCCTCATAATCAGAAAGTTCCTCTTAATCGCCAACCTAAATCTTCTCAGCTGCAGCTTGATGCCATTGCTCCTAGTTCTGCCCCTATGGCCACCGAGAAAAACCTGTCTCCATCCTCTCTGCAATTCTGGTATCAGAAGACTATTATAAAATCTCCCCCCACAGTCTTCTCTTCTGCAGTCTAAATAACCCGAGTTCTTTCAGTCTTTCCTCACAAGTCTTGCTTACCAGCCCTCTAAAACCTTTGTCATTTTGTACAGGACTCTTTCCAAACTGTTCACATCCTTCTTGAAGTCTGGGGGGGCTGAAACCAGGCAAAGTACTTCAGATGAGGCCATATGAGTACTGACTAGACCAGAAGCATCATTTCCCTTGATTTGTAACGCTCCTATTTAATACAATCCAGTAAGCTGTTGAGGCTCTTCCACAAGCCCCTCAAAGCCCTGAGGCCGCTGCAGGAGCGGCAAGTCCAGGGTTATTCTCAGTTTTTTTGTTGGTTTTTTTTTTTCTTAAAGGGCCAGAGCTGGAGGGGGGCTCATGGCAGAGCCCCCCCATGCAGTGGGGGGCAGCAGGGATCATCCCCTGCTTAGCAGCACCCAGTGAGATGGGGCTTTTTTTAAAGCTCTAGGAGCTGAGGTGGACAGGGCAGCAGTCAAGGGGCTGGGGGAGCGGGCAGGGGATGGGGCCTGGCAGGGGTCCCCTCCCCACTCCTCCAGCCCCCCCTCCCCCTACTTACCAGCTCCAAGTCTGGCACCAGCTCCCTGTTGCAGCCACCGGAGACTATCCAAATCTTTCCCGAAGATTCGGAGAGCTTTGAATCTGTTCAGACCTTTTAACTGGTCCCAATTTGATTCGGCCACCAAATCGGACCGAATCTTCTCCGAATTGAATCAGTACCTGAAGTTTCACACAGTCCTAATGATACAACCAGTTCTATAGTCATCTTGCAGTACTTCTGTCTCATCTGTATTTTCCTTAACTGCTTAATGAGGATGGTGTGGGAGTAGACTAAAGTCAAAGTGTATCACATCTGGTTGACACGTTTCTCCCCGTCCACAGAGCCTATCACCTTTATCATAGAAGAAAATTAAGTTGGTCAGGCATGGCTTGTTCTTGGTCAATTCATGCTGGCTGTTCTTGATCACCAGGGATCCTGGCTTTCAATTTGATTTTTTTTTTTTTTTTTAAATCCCCAATTTTCAAGTTCAAAAAGTAACCCAAAATCCAATTTTTTTTTTCTGTGACTTAAAATGAAATACCACTAATATAGATAGGTCTGTATATTAGCAGTATTTCATTTTAAGCATGGAAAAATGTGGATTTTGGGTTACTTTTTTTTTAATCGGAGAAAACCAGGATCCCTGTTGATCACTTTTTTTTTCTCTAGGTGCCTCCCAGTAGATTTTATCCATGATCTTGCCAGGTATAGAAGTTAGGCTGACTGGTCTGTAGTTCCCTGGATTCTCTTCCTTCCCTTTCTTAAACATGGGCCCATGTATTTGCCCTTTTCCAGTCATCCAGGACCTCACCTGAACTACACAAGCTCACAAAGAGGATCTTTAACGGCTCTGAGATTACTGCAGCCACTTTCTTCAGTACCCTGCATTCCTTCTGGCCATACTGACTTGAAAGTATCTAGGTTCTCTAAGTAATCCCTAACCAGGGAATAGTCTTCTACTATTCTAAGCTGTTTATCTCCTTCCCTATCTTCATAGCCAACTACACTCATCATCTGGTGTAGCTGCCCCTATTTGTAAAAACTGAAGTAAAACATTAATTGTTTACTTCATTGAAGTAAACAATGCATTGAATACTTCAGCCTTCTCTGAATCATCTATAACTAGATTGCTTTCTGAGTTCCTTACAGGACCAATAGTTTCTCTGGTCTTCTTGCTTTTCACATGCTTCCAAAATCCTTTTCTACTTTTCTGCTATATCTCAAATTGTGCCTTGGGTATGTAGGGAGAAAATTAGGAAAGCCATGTAATGGTCTTCTCTAGTACTATGACCAAGCCTCCACTTTTTTTTTTTTTTTTTTTTTTATAGGATTCTTTGAGTTGCAACTCATGGAAGAATGTGCTGTCTACCCAGGCTTGTCTCCTGATGCATTTCTCATTTTTCCATCATACTGGGATAGCTCTTGTTCCGGTGTCCTTAGCAGGGCCTCCTCAAAATATAGCCAGCTCTTCTGGAGTCCTTTTTGCCCTTGGACTCTCCTTCCAGGAGATTCTACCTATCACATACCCGAGTTTAAGTCTCTTTTCTGAAGTCCAGTATCCTTATTCAGCTGCTCTCCTCCCTTCCTCCTCTTAGGATCTTGAACTTTATCACTTCATGGTCACCAACACCCAAGTTACTTCTGCCTTCACATTCTCAACCAATTCATCCCTGTTTGTGATGAGTAAATCAAGAAGAGTTTCCCCTCATCTTTATCAAAAAGTTAGCCAAGTTGCACTCTGTTTCCAACTTTACTCAATTATATCCAACCACTTGTTTGGCAATGGGCATAACCTGCTAATAGCAAACAGTGACATATTGCAGATAAATCTGATTCAGCTAAACTGGTACAAATACCTATGTAGCTGTTACTAGGCTTAAATAGTTTCTTAAGTTTTAACCTAACTGGTGAACCAAAATAGCAAATAGTCACCACTATTGATTTTAAATAAACCAGTAGAATCTGGGTGCATCAAACAGGGCTAAATTCTCAACTAGAAAAGGATCTAGTGACTTTAGAAAAGATAGGAGTTTAAAATGCAAATGTCAAAGTGAAACTAGGTTAATTGGATTAAATATGAAAAACAGAAACACTAGAACTAATGAACAATATTGTAGAAAGCAGTTCAGAGGTTTGATTTGTCACGCTCTTATGAGTCTTAAGCTTAAAATTTTGCTCTTAAGTGCGTAGGTAGTGATAAGGTTAGTACAACTGCTTCTTTTAACCGGTATATTACTGTGTGTAACTCTTCCTTTGAGTGACACAGATATAAAGACCAAAACAACTTGTGTGTAGCGATGGCACAACTTATTTTTAACTCTTTCTGGATTGTATCAGAATTGATCTTGAAGTAAACCATCCCCCTTTTTAAAAGTTAAATTTTTTGAAAAATCTCACCTTCACAAAGAGCTCAATGTCTGGGAACAAGCATCCATTCTCCAGAAAGTAATCTTCTGCCATGGGGAGCGTGAAGAATAAGCAAGTACCAACTCTTGTACAGCCTTTTAAATGCTATTGTTTTCTATATCTAACTGAAGGATTTTCCTCTAGTGACTTTTTCTTTCTTGCTTTGTGACAACTACTGGCTCTCTCAGCAACAAGTGAAAACACAAACCATTGTTTTCCTTGGTTTATATGCCATCAGGGAACAAAACTAGAAATAAAGGGTTTGGAACTCTGTATTACACAAGATAGCTGACTTGTAGGTGGCAAGTATGAAAGCTACTATTGTTAGTTCACTACCACTCGGAGCGCTGCTCTGTAGCATCACAGTTTATAACAAGCATGCATTTGACTGGAAACTACTTTGCATTTTATTAGAATGAGCTGACTGATGCCAATAGAAAATGTAAACATATCATGTTGCCTCATACCAAGTGATGTGAAAATGTCAGTATCCACTATAGGTGGGTTTTACAAAAACAACGTGGTTGTCAAAGACTTTATTATGCTTCTTTGCTGGGCTGCATCACTGAATTATGTATTGGATTATCAGCATACTGCCACTGAAAACTGTTTGGAAGCATTTGTTAAATAAGATGTGGCTACCATATCACAAAACTGTACCTCATTATGAAATGTTGTTTTCAGGATCTGCATGAAGAGGCATGTTACTGTATAATATAGTTAAGGTGCTCTATATTGTGAATGTATGTCTCCTGCTCTCACTCTCACCAGTTCGCAGACTGTCAGTTCTTTCTGGTGACCAGTCTACCAAAACATTTGGGTAAAATGATGGATAGAAGCTCTGAAAGTTAGGGTGGGCCTGTGCAAACAAAAAACTGGAGTACATGTATTGAAAGAAGATGGGTTGGATATCCCTATTAATGCAGTGTGAAGTATAAGCACAGTGGACAGGTCACTTATTTCTTCTATTTAGATGGGATAGGGTGGTGCAAAACTAGTATGTTTGTCTGCACATGCAAAAGTCTTTTTTGCCTTGGGGGTGGGGGGCAAGGAACTGTGCTAAACCTAATCCGCTTTGTACCTGACGAAATCCTACAATGAAAATGCACTCTTAAGTTAGGGATGTCTTTAGTGTTTTACAGACAGTTCTGAAAAGTAATGAATCAAGTCATTTAAACTTATCAAAACCAATTGTGCACTTACGGCAAAGGGAATTTGATCATGGCAACTAAAATAAATGGCTAAGCCTTAAGGAAATCAGAGACCTGTCTCCTGAAAAGTGAAATGCATACCTATTCTGGTCAAACAGTCAGATGCTCGCTTTGTATTCTTTGTGGGGTTTATAGCAATACGTAGCATTTGGAGAACTTTACAGATTGTTTAAGCACTCGACAGTCACGATGGAATGAACTTCTTTCTGTAACCCAGCATCAGCTTCCCCTGGACATTCAAGTTAGAAGCCTTGTTCCCTCTAACTTTTACTGCTGAAGTGGAGGAAATAAAGCCAGCCAAGCTGTCAGCTTTTGTTTCGTCTCCATTGCCCTGGTGACCAGTAAATTGCAGGGAGTCAGAAGCAGCAGCCTCAGTCCTGCTCCTCTGTAAATTTCCATAAGGTGGAGTCAGAGATCCAGCTGAAGACAGACACGTTACCATGACAAATGCAGAACTGAAGTAGACAATGACTCCATCGATTTGTTATTAGACTGGAATAACACTGTGTTTAGTAGACTATTTGTCATTTATTTGCTTACAAATCGAGAACTTCTGGAGACACCTTGATGGCTTGCAGAGATGTGCAAATATCTTAACGATTAAAAAGTTTTATACATTGGCAATACACAGCTCATGTTTAAGAAAATAAACTCTTCATAGAAAAACTACTGCAAAGTTGATTGCTTCCCTCCCTTTTTTTTTTCTTTTCTTGTATGGTTTTCAAAATACTGTTGATTTTAAATGTTGAGAAACAAGCAAATTGTAGAGGGAAGCTTAACATAATCAATAAAGTATTAACAAAGAATTATGCGACAAGCAAAAGTAATGTACATGTTTTTAAAAATCACTTTAAGAAGCAGTCCTGTATGCTATCAGGTTCCTCCAGTTTCAACTGCAGTCCAAAAGTTTGTGCTCACCCTTGCGATGCCCTTTTTCAATATTAATACGAGATGAACATTGGGGTAACACCATCAACACAGTCTTAATCTACATAGTTTTAGGAAAAATATATAAATATTCTAGTAAAGCATAGCTTTAGGTTAGTTCAGCAGTGCTGCTTCCTGTACTTGGGGGGCGGGGGGGAGCAGGGAAGGGGAACAAGGAAATCCATTTCTGCTTGAAGTAGGAATAGGTTACCTGATGTCTTGCCATTTCCCTCAAAGACAAGATTTTTAGTAAGCTAATGGTGACCAGATCTAACACTTTTCTGTGTGAATCCCTTGCAAAATAGTGGCATCACACTTATGTTGCACAATCTTTTTCTGGGCTCTTGTTCAGGAGGCTCCACAAGTGAGATCTAGAGCCAAGGGCTCCAAATTCAGAACTATACTAGGGCAGTCTTTCAGGCATTCATATTTATACCATCGATTTGCCCTTGGGTTAGTGAAGGCCAGTATATCACCAGCACCATTCTCAGTTGTTTAAAAGCCTTCCTGCCCTACCCCACCACTTGGGAGTGCCCAACTTCCTGGATGGAGGGGATCACGCCTCATGACCAGGGGTGCTGTGATAGCCAGGGTATATCTGACTGTAGATACCAGTACTCTAGTTCCAGCTCTGCAGCAATAACTCCTAACAATAGCAGAGCTGAAGGAAGGTGACAGCAAGCAATGGAAGCCAGCAGCAGCACTAGGAGTTACTGATGTTCAACTATGGCAAGAGGGGGAACAAGGGAACTGAGGTATAAGGCCCAGATTCTATTCTTTTCCTATCATTTTAACAGCTTGTGACCCTGATGCAGAACTTGATTTGTGTGTGTTTTAGAACTATGCTAAGCTCATATTCAGGCTCCTTTTTAAAGCATAGGATGAGAAGGTTGATAGAAAAACCTTCTGATGACTCTAATTTGCCTTTATGTATTAAGAAACATTATGTGCACCCTCACGGTAGCTTGTTAGATACCAGAGTGGTGGATGCCACTGAAAAAGCTGTAACAGATACCATGGTCTTCCAAGATGCCATAGCAATTACTGAGCCATAAAGATGGAAACAATTAAGTAAGACATCTCAACTTTTGGGCCATTCACAGGGTGGGGTTTAACCTTCAGTTTAAGGATGAGTTGCTAGATGACAATTAGATTGCATCTTCTGTAATTTTTTTCTGCTTATGTAACAATAACGCATTCTCCAGCTAACATTGTACAACCTACCTTCTTATTGTGCACCGATCCCATGGGGCATTTATACACATACTTTTCTGTCCTATGATGCACCAGAGATCTGCTGCTTCCAAGCAGACTTGATTAATCTGAGCTGAGGTGAACTGCACTATGCTGCGTGCAGTTGTATAAGCAGCGAAATGCATGTCAGCATGCAGAAAATGGTGGCAGTGCACTTTTGAACTAAAGCACCTCTGATGTGTTTTAGCTCAAAAGTCCACCGCCGCCATTTTCTCAGCACTAACGTGCATTGCACCACTTATACAACTGTAAGCGTTGCAGTGCTGGGTGCTTTTCAAAGCGCCCAGAGCTGCAGCATTTGCACATGTAAAAATGCCCTTAGTCTTGTGAGCAGGTTAATACAAATACTAATACATCAACAGCACAGTTCATAGTCCAGTTTGTCAGGCCTGGCTCTGCATCCTACACAATCACTTATTATATGTGCTAGTAAAAAGTGGGTGGAAAATTGTACCAAATTGGGTAACATTCAGACTCTTGACAGAGAGGGGAGTTAATAAGTTCTGTGTTCAGCACCTGCTGATTCCATCAACACCACACATGGCTTAACAAGATGGCTTAACTGCCCTTAGAAGGGAGCTTGCAGACCCCTGACTTCAACCATCTGAATAAAGACTAGCTTCCCTAATAAAATGAAATTACAAAGTAGGAATCTATGTCCAATACTGTGTCCAGAGAAGCCTGTTTAGAGTCTGCACATGGCCAGTAACAAGACCTTTATACACAGGCATCCAACTTCTACCTTACCCAAAGTGCTATCCAACTGCCAGAAATCAAATATAGTTTCCCAATATTCTAATTAAGGACAGTGTGGCCTGCTTTCCTTCAGTATCCAAACATCCACACACAGCTCGGCTTACAGAACAACCAAAACAAGGACCACTATAGATAGCTTTCACCAAGCTGGTACTGCATAAGTTGCTGACCCAAAAAGAAAGCTCTACTATGCAGCACACCCTACAGGATCTTATTCAGATAATTTCTGATGTGCTTGTACAAAATCAGTGTTGAGACAACTAATAAATTCTCTGAATGCCGTAAATTCATTGCATAATGATAAGGTTTTACTTGGCTATTACAGAAATTCCTAGTTATTATAGTTGTTTATAATCATTATTTTTAGTCTGCCAATAGGGTCTCCTCTTTATGGGTGAAAAAAGTATGCATCTTCCAGTCACATTAGCTCAATTCCCTTAGCGCAAGGTGACTGAAGTCTGAACACAAATGTTTTAGCATAGGTAAAACACTGCCTGTTAAAATGGCTTTGCCTGAATTAGCATGCATTTTGACCCACTTTGTTATGGTAAATCCATGGAGCTAACCCAACTGAAAAATGCACCCTATTCACCCAGAAGTGGACCCAAGATTTTTACAAATGTGGGTGCAAGAGCAGCAACCAGTGCTGCAGGATAGCTGCACCCCAACCTTCTTGTCCACTCTGCCCCTCCCATGCCATGGGAGCAGCAGTCAGGGACTTCTTTTTTTTTTTTTTTTTTAAGTCCCCAGAGAAGGTAAGAATTCCACCCCCCTCCCTTCCCTGCTCCGATCCCTCCCCTCCCCTCCCCTTCTCCCCTCCAGCACTGTCACTGTCCTGGGGGGAGGGGAAGGGGTGTCTCTGGAGCTGCTCAGCCCAAGAAAGTGGCAGTGGTGACAGATGACAGG